TTTTTTTTTTTTTATTTGTTTTTTTTTTTTTTTTTCTTTTTTTTTTTTTTTTTTACACATAAGGCATGGAGATTGTAATTTTTTTTTTTTTTTTTAACACTTCTCTTATCCCCAAGCTGTGTATGTTATAAGTTATAATAAAGCATAATCACCCTTCCATTGATTTTATGTTTTTCAATTTAGTACTGTTCTATCTGAATCTTGTTGCTAGCGTGTGTGTAATGACTGGACTGGTTAAAATAATAGACTTCGAAATTTTACTTTTATTTTTCTTCTATGCTTTAATTTAAATGTACCCGGGTACTCGCAATAATTGAAAAGATTGGCAAGCCTGGATAAGTAATAATTTCCAAATGTTTCCTAATCATTGAGATACAATGGCCTTTTGGCATGTTACCTGCGGCCATGGTGAAGAATGTACACACTCTCCGCAGCTGTTCTCTTGTTCTATATAGGGTGTTCCTGTAGTCAGGTTTTTTTGGTAGTTGAAGCTAAAGATCCGAAGTGCCGGGAAGTGGAATAGGTTATGTATGAGTTACTGTCTCATTTGCAAGTCTGCAGAGGGGCACATTGGTGTTTTATGTGGATTAGGTGGGAATTTAGTTGTATGTGTCCTGTGTGCAGGCGAAAGATTATCAGTATCACCTATTCGTGTCTTTGTGGCAATTGATTGAATCTTTAGTGATGAAAGCTTAGACCTCCCGAGATGAATGCTTAGACCTCCCGTGATGAAAGCTTAGACCTCCCGTGATGAAAGCTTAGACCTCCAGTGATGAAAGCTTAGACCTCCCGAGATGAAAGCTTAGACCTCCCGTGATGAAAGCTTAGACCTCCCGTGATGAAAGCTTAGACCTCCAGTGATGAAAGCTTAGACCTCCCGAGATGAAAGCTTAGACCTCCCGTGATGAAAGCTTAGACCTCCCGAGATGAAAGCTTAGACCTCCCGAGATGAAAGCTTAGACCTCCCGTGATGAAAGCTTAGACCTCCCGAGATGAAAGCTTAGACCTCCCGTAATGAAAGCTTAGACCTCCCGTAATGAAAGCTTAGACCTCCCGTAATGAAAGCTTAGACCTCCCGTGATGAAAGCTTAGACCTCCAGTGATGAAAGCTTAGACTTAGACCTCCCGAGAGAGTAATTTTCCTAGAGAGTCCTGTACTTTCTTGCTCCAAACTGACTAGCGCAAAGCTGTATTCCATCACTGATTGCGCATATCCTATGTACCCGTACAACTGAAGCAGTGTGGTTGTGTCACTTCCTTATGACTGGATATCCTTTTAACACGTTTTACGGGTCTTGAGACTCTAGTTTCAAGTTCTGAACATGCTTTTTAAAATTGAGTTGCCTGTCTAACTGGACACCTAAATATGTTTGTTTTTCTCCTTTTTGGAATATTGTGCAATGTATGTCGGGAGATTGTAATGGGGGATGGGACCATTCGTTTATTTGTAGGTTATAGTGTCAGTGACTTGTCAGTGACATGTCAGTAGAGTATGTTTCGAAGCCGGCCCTGCGTGATGCCAAGCAACGCGAGCCTTGATAGACGAGGCGGCGCCAAGCTTGGGTGTATTGCTTTTTGTCCTCATCACCATGGCTTGACTAGTTTGGTAAGTGGTTTTCCTTCCCAGCCAGATCCAGAAGTTGCTTACCCCATGCCCCCACACTGCGGTCAGACAATGGGAGTCGTCGTTTGGCAGGCGGCAGTCTTCAGTGTTGGCTCATTTCTAAGTCATGTCGTCCAGGCAGTCATGTCGCCCAGGCAGTCATGTCCAGTCATGTCATCCAGATAGGATTCACAATTCGCCCATTCCCTCGCATTCCGTATTTGATTGTTGGTTGAGGCCATCTTAGTAATAGAGTATTGTCACGTCCTGATCCTGGCGGCAGAGCTAACAGACCTTGCCGCCCCAGTACCAGTATTCTGGTACCGTACCGGTATATTCTACATCAGGACTGATCAATCGTATACAGTATAAATCCATGAGGATCCGATTTCTGTGTCGACCACAAAAAAAAGGGGGTGGGGGGACATTGAAAGAAGGAGGGTGAGACTAGAAGAAGACATATATTCATGGGAGAGTTCTGGCTAGGTTAGTGTAGCATAAAATGTTTTACATTTCGCTCTTAACCCATTCGCTACTAACCACTAACACCAAAACACACCCTGAAATACTAAGCAAGGGGAGATCACTCTCAAAAACATGCACCCCCCAGCCTCCTCCCAAGGTTCCAGTTTTACCGCTGGTCTTAGGTAGAACCTGATCGGCCCCTGTTAAACTAGGGAGGGTCAGTACAACAGTAACAGTACAACACCAGCAGAAGTATTTTCGTGAAGGCGCCAATGCAGACTACTTAATGTAGGAGCGACCATATTTCAGAAGTATACAGAAATGCCATAGATGACGCAGCATCTGGGCAGTCAATATAATACCTCCAAACAGGAGAGACATTGTCATGCGCATAACATTTTTAAAATCCATTTATTCCAAAGAGTATCCCTCCCCACCCAAACCACGTGACCACTTGTACAAGATTTAAGCTACCGTTTAAGATAATAATGTACAAGATTTAAGCTACCGGTACCATATAAGATAATAAATGTACAAGATTTAAGCTACCGGTACCATATAAGATAATAAATGTACAAGATTTAAGCTACCGTATAAGATAATAAATGTACAAGATTTAAGCTACCGTATAAGATAATAAATGTACAAGATTTAAGCTTCCGTATAATATAATAAATGTACAAGATTTAAGCTACCGTATAATATAATAAATGTACAAGATTTAAGCTACCGTATAAGATAATAAATGTACAAGAATTAAGCTACCGTATAAGATAATAAATGTACAAGATTTAAGCTACCGTATAAGATAATGAATGTACAAGATTTAAGCTACCGTATAAGATAATAAATGTACAAGATTTAAGCTACCGGTACCATATAAGATAATAAATGTACAAGATTTAAGCTACCATATAAGATAATGAATGTACAAGATTTAAGCTACCGTATAAGATAATAAATGTACAAGATTTAAGCTACCGTATAAGATAATAAATGTACAAGATTTAAGCTACCGTATAAGATAATGAATGTACAAGATTTAAGCTACCATATAAGATAATAAATGTACAAGATTTAAGCTACCGTATAAGATAATGAATGTACAAGATTTAAGCTACCGTATAAGATAATAAATGTACAAGATTTAAGCTACTGTATAAGATAATAAATGTACAAGATTTAAGCTACCGTATAAGATAATAAATGTACAAGATTTAAGCTACCGTATAAGATAATAAATGTACAAGATTTAAGCTACCGTATAAGATAATAAATGTACAAGATTTAAGCTACCGGTACCATATAAGATAATAAATGTACAAGATTTAAGCTACCGTATAAGATAATAAATGTACAAGATTTAAGCTACCGTATAAGATAATAAATGTACAAGATTTAAGCTACCGTATAAGATAATAAATGTACAAGATTTAAGCTACCGTATAAGATAATAAATGTACAAGATTTAAGCTACCGTATAAGATAATAAATGTACAAGATTTAAGCTACCGTATAAGATAATAAATGTACAAGATTTAAGCTACCGTATAATATAATAAATGTACAAGATTTAAGCTACCGTATAATATAATAAATGTACAAGATTTAAGCTACCGTATAAGATAATAAATGTACAATTTGCCCTCAGAGAGCTGTGACTGGGAAAGTTCTTTGAAAGGAGGAATGGACTTAGAACGAGTGCCTAACATACCTCCTGACCGAAGGATTAAGACCACTTGTTTGCTGTCACAATTAATGAATTATTTGGTTTGAATCATAAGATTTTAGTGGGACGATACTATAATAAGTAATCGGATTTAACAAACAAAAATTTTGGTACCGGTACCTGTGATTTTTATTTTAAATAAAGTGAGGGAGGGTTGCGCAATTTCGTCAGCCTCCCTCTCTTCCTCGCCTTTTTTTCCCCCCCTTGATCCATAGGCGAGACTTAGTCAAGACGACTGGAAAAAGACAAGGATGCAGTGGATGGTCAGAGTGAATTTTGTGTTTCACTGTGCACTTGATGCGTGTCACGTGATCTTCGCTGTATCTGCTTTTCCACCCATTGGATCACGTAAGGATCTCTTTTGCGTGGTCCACCAAATCCTGTCTTCATTATGCGAAGTAGACACATCCTCATGTTTAACTCATATAGCACGCTCGCAAGACTTTGGGTCGGCACAATAGTTGATTATATGAGGCTATAGCTTTATTTCATCGTCTCACTAGAGGTACAAAACTTATCCGAAGACATGCATTCTGATTTTGGCTAAAGTCTTTAGTGTTTTTTCCACCAATTTGACTCAGTTTTCTAAGTAGTTCATCGTACGTTTAATTTTAAGTTTAATACATTCATTTTTATAAGCAGAAGATGTGAAATGTGTATTTTCATTATTCGTACCGTACTGAAACTACCACAACTGACCTATGTTCATATTTATCTATTTTATTACAATACGTTTTATCAAAGGGTGGAGGAGGCTGCGGAGACTGTTTTGAAATCGTTAGAGGCTATGGCACTGGAAAAAGGTA